TGGCTGGGGAATTCTGGGAGTTGAAGTTCACACATCTTCAAGTTGCCAAGTTTGAAAAACATTGACCTAGAGCCCCTGGAATGTATTCATTTATTTATAAGAATGATAAGTTATAAATAAACTTAGAATAATAGATACATTTTAAAAATCCATGTTCTGGTGACGGACTAGAATCTGACATTAGTTTGCACCTTGTTTAGTTGAGTTTAATCATGGCTGTCTACTGTTTCTTTTAAGATGGGTGTAGGCTCTCAAATCTGCTGCTTGTCCATTATGCCCCAACCCATCTTTTTCCCTTTCCCCACTTTTAATTTATGCCCCCCCGCATGGACTGGTAGAGCCATTTTTAATATCTGCATATTAGTGGAATAAGACAGGTAGAGTCCTTAGGTGTTCCAGCAAATGCTTCAAGGACCACCCAGGTGAAGAAGCATGGTGTGAGACAACCAAATTGGGGGGGGGAGGGCAAAACTGATCAGAACTATGCAGAAGAGTTGTCAGTAGGCAAGGCCAGAAAACAGGAGTTGCTAGTGACCTAGGGATGTACTTAAATGCGGGCAGGGTGTTGGAACAGAATCTTGAAAGCCAGTCAAAACCCCTCTCTACTTCGACTTATACCTAACACAATCAAGGTAGAGTTGTTCTGAGTTTCTTTCTCATACTTTCTGCTTTCCCAGGACCTGGATATCTTTTCTGTATTGGTTCAGCATTCTCCTTCCCCTTCTCTGAGTCAAACCCACACATTTCTTCACAGTAGGAAAGGTACGAGCCAAGGAGTTGAGTTATATTTCAGGACCATGGAGAGCAACCCGGTGCCTAGAATAGAGTACAAGCAAGTACTGTATTCCCAGCACTGACCTGAAACACGCAACAGGGTTTTATAACCACAATAGGGAAATCTTTCTAGAAGTGTCATCTTCTCAACTTCAGTATAGCTACTGTCTTGTGGAGCAGGCTAAAGGATGCTTTGCAGAGTCTTTCTGCTTGCTAGCAGAGTCCAGGGGCCAAAGAATAACGTAATTCATGTAAATTGGAGTTGAGATTCCAAGAGAAAGAGTCTCAGGGCAGAAGGACAAAGAGTTGGTCCAGATTCTTCTCCAGAGGCACTATCATCAGAGGCTTGGTTTCCAAGGGCTGTTGATCCTGGGCTATTGCAATCTAACCTTTGTCAACCCCACTGTGCAATTTGTAAATTCTGAATAATATTACAATGTGGAAGTGGCTACTTTCAGGTGGCACTGATCAGCTTGGACAATCCTGCCCCATCTGGAGTTTTCAGAAGATACTGCTCTCTTCACCCATAGTTGTTTTGGTTTAAATTGTATTTTAATAGGATTTGGGGGGGGGGGCGACTAGAATAATTAAAGACATAAGTGTATGTTAAATTATATTCCTAAAATATGGAGTCTGCCATTTTATGAAGGTCTTTGGCTCTATCAAGCCTGGGACTTAGCCAAAGAAGAATCTTACATAAATGGAAAGAAACTTATCCTCCTGATATTAAGGAATGGATTTGGGATAGGAGGCTCTCATGTATTTGAAGAAGTCTCTACATTCTAAAAATAAGAAGATGAAATAGTGTGTTTCTATATGGCCTAGATTTAATAATAATCTTAAGGATTGCACTTATTAATTAATTAATTTATATTTCACATTTGTCATTGCCCATCTCCCTAAAAGTGACTCTGGGAGATTTACAGTAAAAGAATAAATATTAATTAAAATACAATAAAACAATAGTCCTACAATAATAAATAATAAATATCTCCCAAGATTGATGGTGAAACTATTACGCTCGGGGAGTGTCCTCAATTAATTGATACAAATCGATACAATATGGATCTTTTTTATTAATTCTTTTTTCCTTTCTATTGAGTTTTATTTATTGTAATCACTATGACATATGCAATTTTGGGGGGTATAATCGTAATGTATTTTGTTGGTGGTAGCACTGAAATTGTATTTCATTATATAATGAAATCATTGATTTTATTTTTTAAAAAAGAAGAGACTGCCCCTTCTCCCCACGTATCCACCTTTTTTCTCACCTTAGAAAATACTTCTTAAGGCAGCTGCTAGGGACCCAGCTGAGTCTTGAGATTCAGAGGCTGAGTCTCAACCTGAACCCCAGGAACGTGCTGAAGGGAGACCCCCGGTGCGGTGGGGAGCATTTGAGGGGACCCAGCTGCGGAGTGTGTCAGCTGCCACAGAGTCACACAGCCCAGCAACATGCTCAAAACTGTGGAAGGAAGAGCAAAAAAAGTCCATTTGTCTTCTGCGATAATGAAGTGGACACAGGCAATTAGTCAAGCTGATAGTTAGGGCCAGTGTTCCTCAACCTTGGCCACTTTAAGATGTGTGGACTTCAACTCCCAGAATTCCCCAG